ATGTGGTGCTGGGGGATCGAACCGCGGTCCCTGATGCTTTGCTAAGCTTGTTCTAAATAGGTGCTTTAGACCACTGAGCCATCTCTCCAGCCCAATAGAGTATTTAATACTAGATGAAACAGTGATTTATTTTTGAAAGTAATTTCATATATTCTCAAAGGTCAAAGAGTACTCACATTTCTCATTTTACTTAGTTTGACCCGTTTTTATTTGACTCCCCCGTTGCTGTATTGAAGAGTTTTCAGGCTGTTTCTTCAAGTGCCTGTTTGTGCTCTGTTTGTGCGGCAGTAGTGTAGCACGCAATGAGCTTGTTTTGTATTTTTCTGAAGGTATTATACAGAAAACCCTCCCTTCCCTCATTTTCTCAGACTGGAATTTTTTTTTTTTTAATACTTGATCAAATTATAACCAAAGAACAATTAATTGAAGAGCCATTAATTCTGGGCCATATGTGGTTCTTGAATTTATAGCACATATCATGAGTCCTTTGGGTATGAAAGATGTGTCAAAGCATTTGTTCTTTTTATGAAGTTTAAGTTACTGTTGAAGGATATTTTTATATTAAAGTTTGGAGTAGGACTAGTGCTTGTGACTGGGGGAAGAGAGATGATTTAACTTGGATAATTTGTTTATGAATGCCCCTTTTAATTTAAACTCTGAAGGAAAATCTCTAGTTTGAATTCCTAGTTTTGTACCCATTTTTATTTCCGTCATCATTGAGGCAGGTAGTATTTGCTGCTATGAACCCAAGCTGACAGAAATCTTCTGTGCAGGATTTCTCTGAGTTACACCTCCATCGCAGAGATACACAATGCAGTCAGAATGTAATGCACTGGTTAGAAAGCTGACAAACATGCATGTCTTTTTCCTGGAAAAAAAATAAGATTGAAATTAAAATTATGGGTTTGAATGTCAGCTCCGCCAGTCATCTGATCAAGTCCAATACCCAGAATTATTTAAGCTCTCTTAGCTATTGTTTCCTCATGTTTGAAAGGAGGATAAGAAGAATGTCTTCCTTATTCAGTCATGAAAATGGAGATTATCAAATGTGGTGCTTGGTACCGAGCAGAGAGGTTCGATATATGGTAACGCATAGCATTCTGTAAGCAAACAGAACCAGTCATTGTCCACAAACACTCATTGGCTTTATTTATCTTTTATGTTTGTTAGGAAACTCAAATTATGATTATGTACATTAAAAGGACCCCAAGGAGCACCATACAACGATAGTTCATTTTAATGGTTGAATTGGGTGGGAACATTTGCTACTAGAAAGGGGAAATCCTGCAGAAAAATTTAATATCCTGGTCATAGCAGTATTTATAACTGTGGATTGTATGGTGAGTATTGAAACTCACCATGTATGGTGAACATTGAACTCACCATTTCCCCAGGGGAACTCTTACCAATGAAGAATATTTTCAGATAATTTCTGTCCCAACATTTCAATTTGCTGGTCAATGGAATGTAAGAGGATTTGACCTGAAGACTATTTTTTTTTTTGATTTTTCATTTAATGGGAAAACATACTGGCAACCGGGCAAGTCATTTGCTTAAAGGTCTTCTTTTTTGTTATGCATAATATTAAGTGTGGACGGCTCAATTGGGTTATAACTGAGTTGTAATCTCTCAGATTTACATAGCTTTTAACAACCATTTAGCTAGTTAACCAGCCAGAGTAAACCTTTGAAAGATTGGACAGTACAAGGGAAATGAGAGTATTTTGCTGAGAGAATTGTAATTATAGTTGAAATTCGGCATCAGTGCTTGACAGAGGAGGCAAGAGAGACCCGAGGAGAATGGAGGTGCAGTTGCTTGCGATTCATAATTTTTCCCTTCTTTCCGAGAGATGCATTAACTTATTTTTCTTAACTTAGCAATGACAATTTATATATAT